TTATTTTAATCAATATAGGTAAAACGGGTAAATAATTTATATTCTTACACTCAAAACATAAAACGATTATCTTTGCGAAACAAATGTAAATTTTGAAATTACCATCTTCGAAGAACCGTAGAAGTAACTTTACCATATATTTTGTATTCTATAATGTGTTTACAATTTATGTACAAACATTAATTTCCCTTTTTATTAACATTGAGTCATTACAATATTATTAAAAATATTTTCTATTTGATCTTCAACTTTTGTGATTACCGTTTACAATAATAAGGGAAAATGAACATGCTTAATGTTTAAGAGATATTCTAAATATGTTTGCAGTTTTAATTTGTATCCTGATCTAATAACATTATTCTCATATATAATTTTACAACCTTTTCACTTGCTATAAAGTATAATATAATCTTGCAGTATTTTTCATTTCATAAATATATTTATTATATATTTCTATGAGAGGAGAGTAGTCTCTAGAGTGTTTACAAAAACTATAAGACAAATTATTATCAAAAATCGTTATTACTATGTAAATTAAATTAATATCTTGGATTCAACATTTGACTTGAAATATGTCTCTACATATAATGATATAAAATTATAGTATGGTAATATGTCAATATACATGGGAGAGAATAAGTCATTTATCACTCAAAAAAAGTCATCAGTTTAAAAATTTTAATCTTTTAGTTATATTTAGTATTTTAAAATTTGATCCAGATATGTGCAATTAATGAACTTTTGCCGAGGTAGCAAGTGAAGAAAGAAGAAAGATCTGAGATGACAGTTATAGAGAAGAAGATTTGTGGGATATAAATAAGAGACTTTATCTTTCTTGTTGGCTATCGAGTTATTTTGAATATAAATAAGATGCCTTATCTTAATGGATCTACGTGTAATTCTATTTGGATTATAAAAAAAAATCCAAATAAATGAGTTGACAAACACAAATTAAAATATTAATAGAATGATAAAATAATTTGTTAGTATACTCAGTATTCAATAAATAAATATAAAATTTCCAAAATTAACAAACGCGTGCGTGTTCAAAAATTGTTTTCCACAATTTGTTCATGCTTTTATATTTGAGTATTTGTTCTCAATTAGTTTGTCACTTTTTTTTTCCTTTTTTGGCACAAATATTTCTTAAACTTATTTACATTAACTCTATACATTCAGTATCATAAACTCATATCATCATTTAATTGACGTAACGAATATTTTTTATACGTCAGTAAACCAATCTTCCCCACTGTGAAAAAAAAACTAAATAATTATACCAATGATTAAAAATATATATTATTTTATTTTATTTCTTTTATTATGTGTCAACAGCTGTAAACAATTTGGATTTCTTTGTGTTAACCATATAAAAATATTACTATGAGAATAAAATAATTAAAATGGCTACTATGAAGAAAATGTTTGATATTTTCAAAAACAATGATACATAAATTGAAATACAGTAAATATCTTCACATGTCTGCTAAATATTTTATTTACAAAACACACAAATTTTTTTTAAAATTATAAAATATATTACTGTACAAAAACCTGGTTATATCTCTTGAAATTTTATCTTCCACGATTTTTTCATGTTTTTATATTTGAGCCTTTGGTCTCAATTTGTTTGTCACTTTTTTTTGGTACAAATATTTGTTAAACTAAGTTATATTAGCTCTATAAATTCAGTTTCATAATCTCTTATCATCATTTAATTGACGTAACTAATATTTTTTAAACTATGTAAACCAATCTTCCTCACTGTGAAAAGGAAAAAATAAAACTAAATGATTATTTTAATGATTAAAAAATATATATTATTTTATTTTATTTCCGTGTGTCAGTAGGAGTAAACGGTTTTCATTTCTTTGTGTTAACCGTATAAATACATTACTACGGAATAAAATAATTAAAATGTATATTTTGAGAATAATGTTTAATATTTAAAAAAAATGATACATAAACTGAATACAGTAAAATATCTCCATATGTCTGGTAAGTATTTTATTTACAAAAATACAAAAAATGTTAAAAATTATAAAATATATTACTGTATAAAAATCTGATAATGATGAGCTTTAGATTTATATTTTAGTTTATTATGATCATTCTAGGTTGTACTTATGTCTTTATATTGCATTTGACATGATCTAAGATGTACAATTGAGAAGTTTAGGCGAAAATCAAGAGTCATTTCTGCATCATTTCAATTTTAGGATCAAAATAAAAAAACATAAAAAATTGAAGGATCGATCTACAATTTCACTAGCGTGACAAAAGAAAATAACTCTATTAAATATTTTTTTAATATGATATGCACACTCTAACAACGTTTGATATCTTCTTTTTATTTATAGTAGATGGTTATGGACCATAAGAGTTACAAATGAAACAAGCTAAAGCCCATTACAAATAAAACCCAAATGAAGCCCAACCAAAAGAGATAAGATTGATCGAAGAATGATGGATGTCTTCCACGTGTCTTCAACGAGGCTCCAACATAGGTTACGTGTCGCACAGTGGGAGAGGGTTGAATCGGTGCCGGAACAGTGACCAAACTCGATCCATCCCCAAGCTCGATCCATTTGCATGCTTCAATCTCCATAATCTCCATAATCGTTCATAATGCTTCAATCGATTCAACTTCAGTTCTGATGCCTATTCTGATGCCTATTTTATAGAGTACTAGATTTTGACCCGCGCTTAAAAGCGCGAAAATTTTTTATGATTAAAATTTTATACAATTGGTTTTATCTTAATTTAAAGAATGTTTTGGTATAAAATTAGTTTACCAAAATTTGTGGTGATAGTTGTTTTTCATTAGTGGAAATTTTTTATGACTAAAAATTTATATAATTGGGTTTTGTCTTAGTTTAAAGAATATTTTGATATAAAATTAGTTCACCTAAATTTGTGGTGATTATTTTTCATTAGTTTTTAGTTTCAGTTTTTATTTTTAGATTTTGGTTTTTGGTTTTTAGTTTATAAGTTTCTACTTTTCATTTTTAATTTTTGGTTTGGGTTTTTAAGTTTTAAACCCGCCGAGTTAGTTTGAACTAATATTACCAACAAACAAATCTCAAATAATCGAACATCTAATTCAAAACTGAAAAGATGACAACAAATTAAAAAAAAAATTGAAATAGTTTATTTTGTAAATAAACAAAGCAAAAAATATAACATGTGTTTTCAGCTTTTGGTTTTGGATTTTAGTTTTTAGATTTGGTTTTTTGTTTTGTTTTATATTTTTTTAATCTGTAAATTATTTAAGAAAAATAAAACAATAAATTATTTAAAAGTTACCATTGAAATTTATCAAAACAAAGTGATTGTTATTTAAAATAAAAAAAATATATTAACATGTTTTAAAGTACATGATTTAAATAAATGGTTAATAATAGATAATTTTGTTTTGTTAAAAATATTAAATATCTTTTGGGTCTGAAAATAATAATTGATTTTTTTGATATTTTAAGGTGAAAAGTTTATTCAATGTTTTTCGAGTTTTTTTCTTAATACTAAGCCCAAAAACCAAACTATATAATTTGTTTGGATTTAAGTATAATTAGTAGATTTTCATATTCCATATTTTGATGATATATATTCTTTTAGAACATTCCATATTTGTAGGAGAAAATATGTGTTTTTGGTATACACATAGATACCTGCCATATTTTGACCCGCGCTACTTTTTATGATTAAAATTTATATAAATGGGTTTTGTCTTAATTTAAAGAATATTTTGATATAAAATAAGTTCACCAAAATTTGTGGTGATGATTGTTTTTCATTAGTTTTTAGTTTCACTTTTTATTTTTAGATTTTGGTTTTCGGTTTTTGGTTTTTGGTTTTTAGTTTTTAAATTTCTACTTTTCATTTTCAGTTTTTGGTTTAGGTTTTTAATTTTTAAATCTGCTGAGTTAGTTTGAACTGATATTACCAACAAACAAATCTCAAATAATCGAACATCTAATTTAAAACTGAAAAGTTGACAACAATTTTTTTAAAAAAAAAATTGAAATAGTTTATTTTGTAAATAAACAAAGCAAAAAAAATATAACATGTGTTTTCAGCTTTTGGTTTTGGATTTTAGTTTTTAGATTTATTTTTTAGTTTTGCTTTACATTTTTTTAATCAGTAAATTATTTAAGAAAAATAAGAAATAAATTGTTTAAAAATTACAATTGAAATTTATCAAAACAAATTGATTGTTATTTAAAATAAAAAAAGTATTAACATGTTTTAAAGTACATGATTTAAATAAATGATTAATAATAGATAATTTTGTTCTGTTAAAAATATTAAATACCTTTTGGGTCTGAAAATAATAATTGATTTTTTGATCTTTTAAAGTGAAAAGTTTATTCAATGTTTTTTGGAGTTTTTTCTTAAAACTAAACCCAAAAACCAAACTATCTAATTTGTTCAAAAAATAAAAGTAAGCCCAAGACTATATTCCATATATAACCACTGGTTTAATTTAAGTATAATTAGTAGATTTCTATATTCCATATTTTGATGATATATATTCTCTTAAAACATTCCATATTTGTAGGAGAAAATATGTGTTTTTGGTATACACATAGATATCTGCCGTATTTTGAAGGTAGTTTACATAAATGTCGTCTTTTTACATTAATTGTGTTGGTTTAATTTAAGTAATACGGTTCATTCAGTTATATGACTTATATTATTTGTAACATTCTAGAAAGAGTCCAAATTTAAATGACAACTTGTATCGGTAGATAAAAAGAATGACTCTATTTTAATCTGCCATATTTTGAAGGTAGTTTACATTAAGGTCATCTCTTTATATTATTTGTGTTCGTTTAATTTAAGTAATACGGTCCAATCAATTATATGACTTATATTTTTTGTAACATTCTAGAATGAGTCCAAATTTAAATGACAACTTGTATCAGTAGATAAAAAGAATGACTCTATTTTAATAGAGTAGATGTATAAATTTTATACAAAATAAGTCGTTGCCAAGTGGATCATTGATGAAGTAACACGTTGGCGATTATGAACGAAAGCACTCTTAAGATCGCAAACATTCCGTGGATCTCATCAGACTAAATTCAATCAATAACTAAATGAAGTTGCATAAAGTGTAGACGGTAAGAATAGTAATTTTCAGTTTATTATATTATGGTATTTGCTTATAAATATGAGATCTGAATACAGATGTTTTCACCGCTGATTCCATGGGAAACATTTTTCTTTACCAGTTAGTCTACAAGGACCACTAGGTCTTATACTCCAAACGCATGGATGGTCTTGACATGTACCTTGATCTCTCTCAACAAGAAAAATATCAAACCATCTACTCTGATTTCCCCATTTAAAATGACAAAAATACAGAGCTGAGGGATAAAAGTTAAGAGTTACTCTAAATCCGTAGTGTTGCTTGTACACTAAACTTTGCGGTCCGAAGTCTGTGTTCTTGTCTTTGCAGTGCAGTCCGAGTTGAACATTTCGACCAATATCATTGATGATGTCTATATTTATATGCTCTTTTGCCTCACAAAGGCCACTAAAGAGAAAAACGAACATAAATATAACACTAATTCTCATGCGAAATGAAAATGACCCACACATTATGAAAATATGATGAATACCAAGTCAAGCATAAAATATATAAGAAGCTATACTATATTTTAATCTTGTTACCCGTTCCCTCAGTGTCTTTATAGTTTATACTAGAGTTAAACACTCTTTATACTATTTGTTTTCGAGTGATTATGACAGAAATTGATGAAAACTTTTTCTTAGTCAAAAATATTTATTTGTGTTAAATATGTATTGTATGACTTATGATTGATTTTCAAACAATAGTAAATACCTTCTATATGAAGAAAATAAATAGCATAAAAACACACAAATTAAGCTGACTGCTTTAAACAAATAAAAACTTTGACTGAAGACTTTTTGAAAAAAACTTATATTTTTCTGTTTTTTGATAAGTATCATTTTGACATTTTTCACATAGATTAAAAAATTGAAATATGTGTAAATTGGTATTAATTACATCTATTGACCAATAGTATTTGAGATAAATAAAATGATATATAAAATCAATATAGTTTGTAATTAATTTTCAACTAAAATTAAGTATATTTTGCATTAGAATTCTAAAATGACATTTATTATGTAACAAAAAAATGTTAGAATGACATTTATTATAAAATAGAAAGAGTATAAGCTTGTCCACTTTAAACAAATAAAAATTTTGACTGACGACTTTTTGAAAAAAACTTATATAAGCTTGTGATTTGTATATTTTTTAATGAGAATTCGGCCAAAAAAAATACCAACTTTGCACGAATTGCCAAAAGAAATCTGAACTTTTGGGCTCACAACAAAAAAACATAAACTTTTCACTGACTTTAGAATTAATTAACAATGTTTTCGTTGACAAAAATTAACGTCGTTAATTGTTCAATTCAGATGATACGAAGTCGTTTTAAGTGATTTGAAAATAAAAAACCGTAGACCACTGGACTCGAACTCGGGTTGTTGGACCAAATGGCAAGGTAGTTTACCACTAGCCCACATTCAATGTATATACTAACACATTTACATATAAACGAATTGCCAAAAGAAATCTGAACTTTTGGGCTGACAAAAAAAAACATAAACTTTTAATTGACTTTAGAATTAATTAGCAATGTTTTCGTTGACTTGCCAATTTGGCACGCCGTCAGCAAATTTAACAGACAAAAATTAACGTCGTTAATTGTTGATGTTATGATGAAACGACGTCGTGTTCAGATGAAACGACGTCGTTTTAAGTGACTTGAAAATAAAAAACCGTAGACCACTGGACTCGAACCCAGGTTGATTGGATCAAATGGCAAGGTAATTTACCACTGGGCTAGTGGCACATTCAATGTATATACTAACACATTTACTTATATTTGGTACTGATTGAATATAAAAAAAATTCTATAAAAACTTTAAAATTTCAAAAAAATAAAAAATAAAGAATTTTTTTTTATAAAATTAATCTTGAAATTAAAATCAAAATATATTTTATTTTTCTTTAAAAAAATCAGACGGAAACTTATAAAATTTTATTTTTCTTTTAATGTATCTATTAACACATTTACTTATATTTGATACTGATTGAATATAAAGAAATTCTATAAAAACTTTAAAAAATCTATAAAATTTCAAAAAAATGAAAAAATAAAGATTTTTTTTATAAAATTAATTTTGAAATTAAAATTAAAATAAAATTTTATTTTTCTTTAAAAAAATAAAAAATCTTCCAAAGTTTTATTTTAAAGAAAAATAAATTTTATTTTAATATTAAAATTAATTTTATAAAAAAAAATCTTTATTTTTTTATTTTTTGAAATTTTAAAGATTTTTTAAAGTTTTTATAGAATTTCTTTATATTCAATCAATTCCAAATATAAATAAATGTGTTAATAGATACATTAGAAAAATAAAATTTTATAAGTTCCCGTCTGATTTTTTTAAAGAAAAATAAAATTTTATTTTGATTTTAGTTTCAAAATTAATTTTATAAAAAAATTCTTTTTTTTTATTTTTTTGAAATTTTTAAGATTTTTAAAGTTTATATAAATTTTTTTTTTTATATTCAATCAGTACCAAATATAAGTAAATGTGTTAGTGTATACATTGAATGTGTCACTAGCCCAGTGGTAAACTACCTTGTCATTTGATCCAACCAACCCGGGTTCGAGTGCAGTGGTCTACGGTTTTTTTATTTTCAAATCACTTAAAGCGACGTCGTTTCATCTGAATTGAACACAACGTCGTTTTATCCTAACGACAACAATTAACGTCCGAGTTAACACCGTCTTAACTGCTCGTTAACAGTGTGTTAAAATGGCGAGTCAATCGTAAGTTTATTAATAAACTAATAAAGTCAACAAAAGTTCATNAAGCGACGTCGTTTCATCTGAATTGAACACAACGTCGTTTTATCCTAACGACAACAATTAACGTCCGAGTTAACACCGTCTTAACTGCTCGTTAACAGTGTGTTAAAATGGCGAGTCAATCGTAAGTTTATTAATAAACTAATAAAGTCAACAAAAGTTCATGTTTCTTTTGGCCAGACTCGAGTACATGTTTCTTTTGGCAATTCGTACAAAGTTTGTGCTTTTTTTGGCCGAATTCTCATTTTTTAATTTATAGTTTATCATTTTCCTTTGATCTTCTTTATTTATTTTTTCAATAAATTCTTTTCATTTTTTATTAATAAATATTTTTTTTAAAGAAAAAAAAAAATTTCTGCTATTATCTTGACACAAACGTGACAATCTAAACTAAAAATATCACATATCAAAATTTTGCGAACTGATCCTATGTATTATGATCATGTCAAATAAATGCATCCAACTTTATACAGCAAGATTATATGATATTTTTTTTTTACTTTGAAATATTAGTTTGGGGATGTTATTGGATAGTGAATTTAAAGTTAACATTTTAGGTTTTATAATCTAGTGCTATTCAGTGAGAGATTTTCATCATTTAAAAATTTAGTGTTGGTTACCGTATTTAAAATATATATTTATTAAAAAATTAAGAATCTATTGTTATTGGTTATTGTATTTACAATTAAATTTATGAATACAATATTAAAAATTTTGTTTTATTAATGTTTGGTAGATATTTATAATTCATTTGACTTGAAATAGTTAAAATATTGGATACAACTTCATGTGAAAATATAAAAATTAAAATTTCACATTTTATCTTAATGTTAAAGATACAATATCAAATATCATTATCTACTTGAAGAGATAATATTTATCTCTTATTTTGTCTTATTCAAAAGCTGTCAAAGTGACCGAGATGCGTTCACTAAAATAGTGAATATTTCCTTCTTGTTAGAAATATTGATTACTCATCTCTATAAACAGATGTTTTTGTTGTGGCAATTATATAATCCTTGTCACTTCACATGTGTCAATATAAGAGAATAGTGATGCCATTGTTTAATATATTCTGATCAATATAAATATGTACTCCTCCTTCTCTTTTGTTTGTACGACGGAAGAAAGCAAGAAACAATAATAATAAACATTTCTCTTTTGTTCTAAATACTCTCTTTATAGTTTATCAGTTTAAAACAGGTTATCAACACGAAGTTCTGATCCTATACTAAACAAGGTTATACCAGTGAGGTAATGTTTAATTTATGTATTTTAATAATTTTTATTATAGTAATTTTATTATTGTTCTGGAGTGAGAGACTAGACCTTCTCCGTTTATTTTTCGGGATGATAGGCGTTGTCTTCTCCGACTGATAGTTAAGAAAGGCTATGCCTTCACGATCAGATGAACACGTTGTAGGTTTTGCCTCCGTGAATAAAAAGAAAATGTTAATATGACAGATATCTCCTCAAACCTTGATAAAAGTGATCAACATGGTAGATTATGTCTCCTCAGATCATTTGGAAGGCTAAACCTCCAGTTTTATTTATGTGCTTTAAATTTATGCAATTTAATTTATACCTTTATTTTATGCTTTTAATTTTTGCATTTACATTATGCATTTAAATTCTCGTCTTTATTATATTTTTAAATTATTATTCTATTAATACAGTTATCATGTCGAATCTGACAAAGCTCGAAATAAATACCCTAGATATTACGGGAAATAATTATATGACCTGGGCAGTGGGTGCAAAGATGCACCTGAGAGAAAACGAACTATTGGAAACCATCGATAATACAAAAACGGTGTCGGATGAGAAAAAAGCTAAAGCCATGATATTTTTACGACACCACAACATGAGGTTTGAAAGAAGAATATATTACGAAAGAGAATTCTTTGGACCTCTGGCAATCTTTAAAAGAGAGGTTCGATCACCAGAAATATGTGATCTTACCGAAAGCTAAACACGAGTGGATCCATCTCCGGTTCCAGAACTATAAAAGTGTTAGTGAGTTTAATTCCGCTATGTTCGGAATTACATCTAGGATGATGTTATGTGGAGAGAAAATAAGTGATTATGATATGATCGAGAAAACTCTTTCCACGTTCCATCCTAAAAATATAGTCCTGCAACAACATTACCAGGCGAATGGATATACCCGTTACTCGGAGTTGATGCAAGTCCTCCTTGTAGCGGAGCAGAATAATCAACTCGTGACTTTAAACCATCAGGCTCGTCCCACTGGATCTGCTCCATTCCCTGAACCGAATGTTGCATCATCCAGTTATGATAATTGGAGAGGACGAGGTCGTGGACGTGGTCGAAATCATGGTCGTGGAAGAGGACGAGGAAGAAAATTCCGTCCATATGATAAAAGAAATAATAAAGATTTCCACGAAAATGAAAAAGGTGAAAGGGGCCGGGATAATAAAAAGCAAACAGGAGTTTGCTACAGATGTAGTATGAAAGGGCATTGGGCACTTGTTTGCCGTACGCCAAAATATTTAGCCGATCTGTATAAAGAATCTCAAAAGAGAAAAGAGAAAGTAGGTGAAACAAACTTCATCTCTGATGAACCCGAGTCATCCTTTCATGGTTTAAATGATGATACTCATCTCGACGTATCAGACTTTCTGGTTGAGCCAGAGAGTATCGATGAGTAATATAAAATCGATGTGA